CTGTACAAATTTGATGATAAAGTTCTATTACTTGATGGACAGTTGAGTGACCAGCCTGAAACCTAGATTGGTACTTATACAACAATTTGTTCTCATTAAAGTAATTATATAAATGTTTGAACACAACTCTCTCAAACAATTTTCCTAAACAGCTTATGAGTGATATCGGTCTATAACTAGAAACGATAGTGTGATCCCCTTTCTTAAATAATGGCATAACGTTTGTTTTTTCCACACTGATGGAAATAGACTTGATTGTAGTGACATATTGAACAGTAAACACAATGCTCCGCTTATAGAACATACAGTTTTCTTTAATAATTTATGACAAATTTTGTCCGGTCCGGAGGCTTTGTTCAGAGGCAAACATTGTATTATATCTTCAATTTCCTTTTTAGATTTGACTATGGTGTTCATCTCTGTCTCTGTACGAAATGTGAAGCCCGGCATAGTTGTTCTTGTACCATAGACATTAGATATAGATTGAAAATATTGATTCAGTTTCTCTGCCTTTTCGATATCAGTAAAAATTGTCGGGTGTTCGTCCGTATCATACTGTTTAAGAGCGGCTATGCTTTTAGCTAAGCCAGAGTTCTACACAACATAACATAAAACTTTCCAGTATGTTTAATTTAAGAAATAACATATTAGTGATCATGGGAATCTGTTGTTCATCTAATTACTTATGATAATTTTAAAACGTCGCCTAGAATCGTCTAGAATGTTTTGGCCGTGATATTGCTGGAATATTGCTAAAAGCGGCGTAAAAAACATACTCACTCACTTAGAATGTTTTCGAAAATACGCAAACACAAACGCCGAAGAGCACGTTCGGGCCCTTGGATAGTGTTTACAAAATCACGTTTCAAGTGCTACAAATGTGCGATTTTAGGGTGTGTAAGAAACAAATTACTGCACTCGTGCCTGTCAGATACCCCGAGCGATAAAGATAAATAATCTTACCACACGTTGTTCCAAAGCGTATTTAACTCGCTTTCGCTCGTTAGATACCTTTTGAAACAACGCGTTGTAAGATAAATGGTGTCTGACAGACACTCGTGTACTAATCTCTATTTATCATCCAAACTGGTTCCCACGGGAGATATCGCTTGGGTGAGATCAAGCGATATCTACACAGCAGATATAGAGGCAATGAAATTACTTTTTACACTAAAGACACTGCATATTACTGTCTTTAAACTGAAAAAAATGGAAGAATGATTTTGGATGATGAATAAAATCTCACCCTTTTTCCTTTTGATATCAAATATATCAATACTCGCTGATATATTTGATATCAAAAGATACACGATGGGATTCTCTATATATACGTTGTTGTGATTTTATGCACATTTTATAAGGGGCGGGGCTACTGGCGACGAATGTTGACAACTATTACTGTCTTGGCGTTTTTATGCTCGAGAATAACAGACAGCTGACAGATATTAACCTAGAAATGTGCATAAAATATCTCACAAAACTGATTCGTCCAACGGGACCACAAAAAATCTTAAATATCGGTAATTTAGCCTGATCGTTATTGTCATCGTTTATATATGAAATACCGTCGTACCGTGGCGTATTTCATTGAGAATTAGATGTTGCGATCATTATCAAACGGGAAGATGGAAAAATATACCACATTGGGTTTGTTTTTTAAAAATGTCTCAGACATTGGTGATCCGAGTATGCTTGAAATGGGTAACCTATTTATACATGGAAATCCAGCATTAGATCCATGTCAAAACTTTAATATTCTCCATACATTCTGTCCCCGAAGGGTCTCTGATTCTGTTATGCGTATCTGTGTTCACCAGAAAACGTTATTGTGCACATGTTTATTGTACAGACCCATATTTGCATTAATCACTACTGTTATACATTCCGTACCTTTGATACTGCTTAATATTTCAATCGATTAGAAATTACGACCTGAAAGCCTCGGAGACTTGTGTCAATAAAATTAGGCAATAATCCTACGGTTTACACACGGCTGGATGCATCCCCAGTGCAACGCACGAAACTGCGCGTTTTCCGTTATGGGCTACCGATGTCAGAGGTAGCAGAGAGTACAACATACCCTTGCAGAAACAGACTATTGAGATATAGCGCACGCACCCTATGTCAACATGTCAGACATGAAACATGTCGAAACATGAAGTGATACAGATACCAGTGTACCGATCAGTTGTTACCTCAAGCTGTGGTAATACCATTATGACAAGGGCGTTTATAGATTGGAAAATAATCTGGGAGTATAGCGATATCAACTTTTCAGTCACAATGCCACGCGGAAATATTTTTTAAAAATCTCAGGAAAATAGGAGGTGTAATCGGCAACCACAGCCTGAATAGGTGGTAATGTTCTCGGCCGTGATGTAATGTCATGGCGTGACTGTCAGCTACCCTTACCCCACCATACCAACATATATACTTGGTGTTATTCTTCCTAGCGCTTGGCATTAAGGAAGATAAAACAAGGACTGGCTGACTCGGAGTAAATATAAGGTGTCTGATTCGGGTATTCATGTGAAACGGCAGAATGATGTCGTAGTGGGGTAGTACTATGAAACTGGACCAGTATAAGCAGACACACACACACACACACACACACACACTGTTACTCCATCCACCATTAACATAAACTGTGCAAACAAATCAAAATCAAACGAAGACACATATTACATTCTTCATATTTATTGTACCAAATATCATACAAATAAAACATAAACGATTCTGTGATTGCATTTATCGGACATACTGATACAATGTGCACACCATACATTCTACTTCCACTCAACCCTTTGTTACATGTGTTTGTATTACACTCATACATTTATGGTAACAGGCATATTTTATATCCAAGAGTTCAAGCGTAGGGTTCATGGTTGAACAGACCAATGCAATTTTACTTAATAGCATGTGCCAGGTCAGCAAAGACTCAACACAGGTCAGCTAGAATAAAAGAAACTGCCACCCTTGTTAAAGGCTAGAGTAAGGTATATTGGGTAAATTTATCTGGGCATGTGCACATGGTTTTAATTATTGGTAATTGGTAAAATTGAAAAATAATAAGAATGAATATTGATAGTGCGCCATGTCAACTCACGTATGCATGCTCATAGCGCTACAAAAACGTAAAAGAAATTATTGGAGTGGACTGAATATTAATGAAGTAGACATATTTAAAAAATATAAGTAGCTTCATCTAAAGACATATGTTTTTAGGACTGCATTGAAACAGGCTTGGTGTTCAGATGGTAACAGGGAAATGATTCAGGCAATAATAGTTATTTAGTCACAAATAGGTCGTATTGACAAATATATTGGTTAACTTCATACGTCTGCACCAGTGCACTGTATTGTAACAGTACAACATGAGTTAGGACTTACATGAGAAATATTATTAGATACCTTTTTACAGAACAACAAAAGCACGTTTTGTTTCGATTAGACATCACACAGCGATAGACACCTGGGTCAAGGAATTGGTAGGACGTCTAATGCACATCTCAACATTTAAATATATTTTGAAATAGTTACCACATGATATATAGCGTAAAAGATGCTTGATATAATCGTTTGCAGCTGTACAAACACTGCCTCCTATCCTGTATATAGATACATGTCAACCATACTCCGTACATCACTTGCTTGATAATGGTGTTAGAACCTTCACCGAAACGTCGCTTCAATTTTAATAAAGAAGTTGTTCATCCATATATTTTATCCTAATTAATATATGCCTTACATGCACCATAATATGACACCACCTTCCACTTGCAGGAAGATTATAAAAATAATCCTAAAAATTAGAAAAGCCTTGTGTTTATAATAATCTACACCACCAAATATACTGGGTAACACTAAATACGGATGTATAGACTTACCAAGGGAAACCACAATAGAGGTACCAAACTATGAAATATCTACACACTATAAATTACAAACAAGACACAAGACACAATCCCTCTGCTGGTTTTCTGTGTTAGGCCTCTGTGTAGGGGTTGACAATTTTGTGTAAAAAAAAAACAATTCTCATTTTAAAGAATAAGTATATCCTGTGGACAACAAGACAATGTACACCTGAGGATGTCCAATATAGTATCCAATATACAATAGAGACTTTTATTTAAAAAAAGTGGTTAATGTTTTAAATCATAATGTATATAGTTTGAATAATTGAAAGCTAAAATCAAGAGACAAAGTAAAGCTGCAATACAAATCTGAGTCTTATTCACATCAGTAGCATATGGCATTGTCTAGATATAATAACACTGTTATTAGCTAGGAGAAAGTTTAGATACAATATATATGTGCATGTCTTATGTTTCACTTGATAATAACGAATGTACCCAAATTAGATATACACGTTCAACCTGATTGCACATATGAATATGAACACATCTGTTCTCCTGCCATTGATCCCGCTGATGAACACTTTATTATATACTTCAGAGTTTTCTGAAGTTGAGAAAAGTGATATTTTCATTGCAGTGAGCATAACACTTCATATTTCACTGATGTGAACATAACACTTTGACGGAACTATTGTCACACAAGAGTTACTTCCCCTTTGATTGTCTCCCTTTGTCGCAAGTGACGAAAACTGTTGCCGCTCTTTTTACGTTAGTTCCACATTGACAAGGCAAAATAATGACGGATGGTAATTTATTAATATCACTTCCAGCCGTTTATTCTTCATTCGAAAATGTTTCGTTATGATCTGTAAATCTCTCATTTAACTCGTCAATCGAGACTGTTTGTTTTGCAAAGCGCAATTTTTGTTACTTGACCAGCGCGTATTCTTTCGCTTTTCTCATCGGTCTCCTAGTATTCAAGAATAGTTTTGTTGAAGTTGATTTTGTATATAATCATATCGAAATGTATGATAAAGAATAACCGTGACCCTAAATATTTTTTGACACTTTTGTTTATATTTTTTAAGATTTTGTAAACACGAAACTACTTTTTAAGTCGCAAATACAAGGGGTGGTGAACCGTCCCTGTGTGTCAGGTAGGGAGAATTTACGTTTCAAGGTTTTACATTTGTAATGAAGTAGTATAACTGCAAAAAAGTATATAATATACAAGTGACGGGGTAAAGGACCCGTGAAAATATCTGCTCTCGATGATAGAAACATGATATTTTATCTCTATAAACAAATTCATATCCAAATAAGATAATAGGAAGGAGACAAACATTGTCAGTTCATGTTCATAAGTCGCCAGTCATCTATATACATATTCATGCCTATAAAATATGAGAACAAAACATATGTGTGCATATATTCATTTTCAAAACGTCTTCCGCAAACACAATCTGTTTGCGCTTAAGGGTCTTGGTTAGCCAACGCCAGAACCATGCTCTAAGACTGCATGAAGATTGCATAAGACTTTCTTCACAAAGCTCACATTCAATTTGTGTTAAAGTCACCGACAACAGTACATTTGATCTGTCAATACCGACCATTGTGTGACACAACAGAAGAAACAATTCCATTCTTTCGCAACATAAGTGTAAGCATTAATGAAATATTAATGTTCTCCAAGCCTGCGGTATCTCCTAGCACTTCACATACTGATGACTGTTAAGTGCATAATCAGAAACGTGTTTTCTTATTTTGAAGCTGTGTGATGTATGGTTTAGTTTGTATTGTCCTGATCGTCATCTGGGGATTTGCTAGAGTGTCTCCAAGTAATCCAAAAAATGCATTGAGGATCATATGGGTGCGTTTCTCAGTGAAACAATCTTTTCGAGCATACAGGACAATGGCTATTGTCTGGGAAATTCTCCTGTTGAGAATGTCAAAATATAGTTCTGTGTTTGGGCCAAACAATGCTTTCACCCGAACGGTGGCACCAAAGTCCCCACGCATATCGTTTCCTTTCCCCATATTCCTCATTTCATCACTCCCAAATGTGACAAAGGATGTCATGACATTGTCGTAGTCATCCTTTGGAAGGAAAAGCTTTAGATCTCCGAAAGGAAATATTCCATTCTCTATGCATTCCTCAAGCCTAGTACCATTCTCTCTGAGAAATGTAACAACTGTCAGTCTGTCAACATCTCTTACTTCACAGGACAGTGGTGTAAAATTAACACCTCTTCCAACAGATGTAGTTAGCTTTGGGCTAAAGATTCTTTGGTCAACATATGTTGTCATGGCAAATTTCTGACCATTTGCTCTGCTTGACCAGAGGAGTTGAACGAGTCCTACAAGACACTTGAAGCGTGACAACCCTTCTTTGTCAGAGAAAGAATTCAACTTCTGGTACAGATCAGTTGGTACAATCCTCTGTACACTTATACTGTCCATTTGTGGCGTGGATGACACTGTCCTGTCTGCAAAGGATATGTGTGGAACTGTGTCAAGTGTTTTCATCCAAAACTGTTTAATATGTTGATACCTTGGTTGAAGGATTGTCCTTATTTCTAGACCCATGGGGACGTCGGGATCACTTTGTACATCGCTTAGAGACTGACCCCTTGAGAATGCTTGCCCTATATTCATGAAGTCGTTGATCATTATTGTGATTCCCTGGTAGTCAAAGGCGATTCTGTGGAAGACAATGATGAGATGAGGAGGATTTCCTTTCACAAAGACAAATCGTATTGGCCCTTGGCGATCAAGATAGAAACGCTCCTCTGCGAGATGTGTAACATCAGAACGATTTGTCATAAAACCTATTCTAAAGTCAATATCATCATCCGGGCCCAGTGTTGACTTTCTTACTTCTTCATTCACAACATGAAAAGTTGATCTGCACATTGGGTGTCTTCTGACGTTTTCCTGGAGGATTTTCTTCAGAGACGTTGGTTCAGAAACATCAGGCAGTTCCAGTTCCACAATCATTAAATGGGATATATGGTTTGGATCTCTCAAATAGTTGTCAAAAACAAACTGTTCTCCTGGGATCAGAATGGTATCAGATTCGGATGAATATTCTATTTGAAGAGGTTGCTCATGTTTCAGGTCACAATTCCCTTTGATCATCCATTCATCATAAATGTACCGGGAAATTTGAGTCACTGAAGCGTTTTCTACATTCAGTTTCGTTGCTGACAACTGAACATGTGTGTCATCCATGATTTTTCCAGTAATTTGCATGAAATTCATTGAGTCAACACCCTGATCTCTGGTTCCCTGCTCTACATCAACTGAAGATTCATCAAGCATAGCTACATCAATGACCACAGCCTTCACATATTTCACAAGTTTGGCCAGGGCATTTTCCTCAGACATTTTCTTCAATTCGTGAACGTCAAATGATTCCGCATTACTTGGTGATGCTGAAGACATAGCCGCCTTAAATGGAGACAAAACTGATTTAAATCGAGACTCCAGGTCCACATTGGTCTCCCTGTGGAGGTTTTGTCCAAATTTCACCAACTGGAGACCACACATTATTATCTGTGGTCTATTCATCATGAGGACATGCGTGAGACAGTCTGGTATACTTCTCTTGTGTATCAGAATATATCCAAATGATTCCATCTGTTTGATGTGCCTTTCTTGCAGCATGCCCATATTTAGAGGACCCCAGTTTACAGTCTGACCACTCTGGCAATTTTGCCTCCTGACATGAGCTAGGGCATCCATGAATCCATTCCCTGCGCCATAGTTTGTCTGTCCAGCATTTCCAAATACTGATACTACTGATGAAAACAGTACAAAGTAGTCCAGTTGAAGATGCTCTGTCAGGAGATGCAGGTTCCATGATCCTGCAACCTTTGGGGAAGAAGCTATCTTGAACTTGTCTCTCGTCATTTCCAGAAGGATTCCATCCTTCAGAACAGCAGCTCCAAAGAATACCCCTTTCAAAGTATAGGCAGGGAACCGGGTTCCCAGCTTCTTCAAAGCTGATCCAATTGCTTTGATATCTTGAACATCTGCCTGCTCTGATGTAACAGTGCATCCATAGATCTTGGACACATGCTTCATTTCATCCTGTTTGGTTGGATCTGGCTTACGTCTGCTGATAATAGTAATGCACCCAGCACCTTTGGAAGCCAGATACAAGACACATTCCCATCCTAGTCCTGTCATTCCACCTACAACAAGGTACATTCCCCGTCTGTCAAACAAGAGAATCTCGGGTATCTTCAACTGTGTTGTGGTGACGCCATTGTTCTCTTGAATATTGAACTCCCATGTTTCTAGGATTTCAGCAATGTTGATCGGAGCAACCTGGTGTTTCAGTGGTATGTCTTTGCAATCCCTGAAACAAAAGCCTATCTTCCTGACATTTTGTGTATTTTTCTTTATCCATGTGTACAACTTCGGAATATGTTCATCCATCTGATTGAAAGCAAGAGCCTCCTGAGTTCTGACAAGTGCTATTTTTAATCTGGGCTTTACAGACTGAAGGAGATTTGTCACTTTGAGGGATATCAGTTTCTCAAAGGATATAAGCTTTTCAATGCAGCCCCATTCAAGCACAATCTGTTGTGCTAGTTCTTCTGTAATTTGTGTAGTTGATATGACTACATGGTGTCCTTGATGGCTTGGTATTTCTTCTGGAGTCAGTAATGACAGTTTCCTTGTTTGTTTTGATAACAATATAATTTCCATCACTTCTGCATATTTTCTTGTCTGTTGTGTGTACAGTATAATGACATCTTTTGTGTTGCACTCACCACACAATCGCCAAAGACAGTACAGCTTCAACAGATACCCTGTCTGAAAATTACATAAGTATCTGACGTTCAATGTGAACTTCACTGGGGCATAGCATTGATATCTCACCTGGTGTGGATAGCAAGCCATGTACATCTTTCGTCTGCTATTGCTGTGTGGAAAGCCAGTTGATTCAAATGTGACAACAGGACTTCCCTTGCTGCTTCCCATGTGGCCTCCTTTGTCAAGAGATTGCAGAACTTGTTCAGACAGGAATTTAGAGTGAACTGCTACAGACTGTGCAGTAAACAAAATGTCATCTTTCCCCCTTTCTGGCATGTTTCGTGATATTGTGAAGAAAGGTTGTGATATTTCACCATCAGAAGTTGAATAAAGAACAGTGTCCAGACTGGCCATCTTTCGTTCCAGTCTAAAATCAGGCGTTGAGTTTGGTTCCTTTTGAAACTTCTGTCCATATATGCTTCCATGAAGGCTTTCAAATTCAGCATGACCTTTGACATTCAAGACTTGCGATATTTCAGACATTATGATATTTGCATCATATTGGTCCATGTTTCCAATATTTAGATCTAGTGATGTTACCTTCAGCCTTGGGAATTCCCTTCGAACACATCTGATAAATGCCCGAATACCTTCGTGAATGCACGCAAGTGCATGGGATCTTCTGTCTGGACTCTGATAGTCCAATGCTGTTGCCATTGTGACAATGACCAAGGGTGATTTGATGGCTTGTTGTGACATGTAAAGTATCAGAGATCTTAAAGGCATGATCTTCTCCTCCAATTCTGTCTCCACTTTTAATCCATTGTCAACAACCCCAGGTTTGGCTTGAAACATGACTAATATTCCAGATGACTCTAGAAGGTCTGGAACAGAGCTATTATCATGTAAAGTGGAAATATCATGAACAGTCCATGGAAAGATTGTAGTCCTTGACATAGATTTCTCATCACTGAACATGACAAGGTTCGCTATAGTGTCAGATACAGCTTCATCATCAGGTTCCACTTCTTCTGATCCAATTGTGTATGCAACACTCCTGACATCAAATGTATCTGTACCCATGGCTTTCAATGTGAACTTCCCAATGTGTGCAATGACATACCCTTCAGTTGTCAGCAGTGACAGTGTATAGCAAACATACCATACACTTTCATACAATACTTTCAAATGCACAAGCATTTTTCTCTCAGTCTTTCGCTTGACTACCAAATGTTCCAAGGAAAATGGAAGCATATCCTTGATGACATGTGTGACAGTTGCAGGTGTTTGTAGCATACCATCTAGTACTGCAGGGTGAAGAATTGTATGCTGCACTTCTGTCTGGAGCTGAGACCCAACTTCAAGTACAGTTATGCTTTCCTTTTCAGCTGTTTGGCTCCCTGAAATAATTGACATCATTTCTCCGTAGCTGAAACCACCGTTTTCTAAATGTTGATACACCTCCTTTCCAGTAATGATGTGCTTACATCTTTCCTTGATTGGCCCAAGGTCCACTCTCTCAGGAGCGTAATCCACAGGTGTTTGTCTTATCATTGCTTCCGCATGGACTGTACTTCCTTTCTTTAAAACAAATCTACTCAAAACGCTAGTGTCAGCTTCATTGTGGGATTGTTTTATATCAAGGTTTGTCACTGTTCCTGATTTCAGATTGACTGGGCTTCTGAAGGACACAGAAACACTGATTGCACATCGGTGGTACATGTCAATCATTCTTGCTAAAGCAAGTGCTGCCTCAGCATACACAGCACCTGGTACAATGATTGTTCCTTTCACTTTGTGTTCAAAAACACTCTTGAACCTCTGAGGATCAATGATTAAGCTTGCTGATCCAGACTCTATGCTACCTTTGAGAAACAAGTGATCCCCTTGACTTTCTTTCCTACCCTTTAGCATTTGTTGTTTACTTTCTGACACCAGTAACAGGGCTTTGGAATTGAAGACATAAGATGGGTAGCTTGTTGTATGCATCTTATCAGGAAAGAAAGTGTCCCACTTGACACTCACCCCATAGCCATACAACACGAGGAGTGACTGTAGAATGTCACTGTAACTTGCATCTTGATGGAGAGAAGGAATGGATGTGACAGAGAGTGTGGAATCTTTAAACATGTCCCGTAGATGGGATTTTAGTACTGGTCGAGGACCTATTTCAACAAAAATGTTCATTTTGGATGTTTGTGTTGACTTTTTGATTGCATCAAAAAATCTAACAGGACTCCTTACATTTGAGCCCCAATAGATATTTGAGCCAACTGCAGCTTCATCCATATCTGGATCAACTGTCGACACAAATGTACTTGTCATCTTTGATGTATTGATATTGGATAGTATTTCATCAAGCTGAACTCTTGCTGAATCCATATGGGGACTATGGAATGCATTTGTAACAGGAAGCTCATGAAACAGGGTGTTACTATCTGAAATATGCCCCAAATCCTCTTTGACTGACAAAATTGACCTCTCATCCCCGCTGATAGTACATGAGACTGGGCTGTAGTATAGAGCTACATCTACCTGACCCTGATACTTCCCACAGGCTGCCTTTACTTGTGCAGTGTCAACATTCCGGACAAGCATCATCTTTCCACCTGTTGTTTCAGCCAGGATCCGAGTCCTGTGGTAGATGACCCTCACAGCTTCATCCAGGGACAGGATTCCAGCAATGTGTGCTGCAGCCACCTCCCCCACTGACTGACCTACAACAGCTGCAGGCTTCACCCCCCATGATTCCCAGAGATTGGCCAGTGAGACCTGACAAGCAAAGATGGCTATTGGCCCGAACTGAGGATCTTTTACATCATCACATTCCTGGAACCGCTTCAACAAGGACCAGTCAACAAATCTAGAGAGGGATTTGTCAATTTCCAAAATCATTTTGCTAAACTGATCACTGTTGAGGATGAGATCATTGCACATTCCTTCCCATGCTGTTCCCATACCACAGAAAACAAATACTATGTTTCCCTTTTCTTGAGGCGATAGCTTGTTTTTGTTTTGTAACTCTTCCTGTATTTCAGATTTCAGAGTAGAATGACTGTTTGCAAAGAAAGCTTTTCTGAATGCAAAATGTTCTCTGGCAATACATGAAGTGTAAGCTACATCATTGAAAATAGAACTGTTACCACTTTCAATGAATTGTGTCATTGATTTGTTCAATGTTTTCTCATTTGAGCCAGAGAAACAAACTGGTAAGGAAATGTCTCTATTAACTGATGTTTCCATTGTGAATGATTTTAAAACAGCATGACTATTGCTACCTCCAAAACCAAATGAGTTAATACATGCAACCTTTTTATGACGTTTCCAGTCTGTATTTTCTGTTGGTACTACAAAATTAAACCTGTCAAAGTCAATTGCTTCACTGGGCTTGTCAAAGTGTAGGGATGGCACGATTGTGTTGTGTTTCATCATCAGCAGGACCTTGATGAGTCCGGCAACACCTGCTGCTGCCTCTAGATGGCCAATGTTGGTCTTCACAGAACCGATGTGACGCTGGCGAGGATACTTTTCAAAGAAGGTCCCCAGTGCTGTAGCTTCTACAGGGTCGCCTCTTTTGGTTCCAGTACCTGGGTAGATAATGTTCTCTATGGTCAGCTGTAGACCTGTAGGTTTTTATATCCGTTTTTAATACATACCCCAATAATATCCGATATATGTAATGCTAAATGCAAAAGTAAATATGGCATTTATGTTTGTTAATACATCCAGATCTCTCAATGTTTGTGAGAGTAATTAAGAAATTGATAAATGGTCAAACATTTTAAGTCATGTTAACATTTAGTTTGCTGATGATTTATGAGCAATATTATCATGAATTGAAAAATACTTTACAGTATTATCAGTTCTTTGTGGAACACATTCCTTTGTCTGAAGATTGTCCAAATAATTTTCATTTTTCGGGTATACTATACTATATCCGTGACCAAATGGCTTGGGAAATGATTAAACTACTGACTATCTTAATTCTTTTTATTACTATTTCTTACCTTTACGTTAATAAATATTTTTAAAAACCTACCATGAGCTTCAATATAGTCTACTTGAGTCGGGTCGATCCCGTGTCGAGTGTAGATGTCTTTGAGCAGTTCCTGCTGTTGTTTCCCTGAAGGTGCTGTGATGGGCGTAACCTGGCGGCCATCTTGATTCAATCCCGTCACAATAGTTCCCCAAATGTTGTCACCATCATGTAAAGCCTGAAATATATAAGATGGATGTTTATGTTTCCCAATGTCAAATGATATTCTGGCTGCACGGTTATATCATAAGATTATTCAATTCATACTTTTTAGGCACACTTTACTCTGCAATTGACTTACTTGACTTAATAGTTTCACGATGACAATTCCACATCCCTCTCCTCTGGTGTAACCATCGGCATTTGCTGAGAAGGCGTGGCACTGTCCAGTGGGCGACAACATCTGAGCTTTGCTTAACTTGATAAAATATGCTGGGTGAATTAAAAGGTTCACCCCTCCACAGATTGCAATAGAACAGTCACCTGAAAGTTATTAATACAAACAAAAGTTTGGAAGTTAATAATATCAAAGTATATGTTGAAGTACAGCTGATAGGGTGGGGAATAATTGAGGAGCTTTATAATAGGTCGGTATTTTAATATTCTTGATTGAGAGATTCAAAGATAAATGAATAAAGCTCCTTATATTCAGACCCATTCACCCGATGATGTATATATATATGATCTTTATGAAGATGAGATTGGTTGTCACACTTGCTCTGAAACTATTTAAATCCTACAAAAGCCGTATAACCGTGTACAAAGCAGATTCCATTATTAGTTCGTGCATTGTATATTTTATTTTAATGCTCGGCTGATCTGCTATATGTGTAAAGGGGAAGTATTCTGTTAAATGGCAGTCACTGCACACTCACCTGCTCTGAGTGCCAGTCCTGCCTGGTGTATGGCCACGATGGATGAAGAACATGCTGTGTCTATGGTCATGGATGGTCCCGTCAGATTGTATACGTAGGATACCCTGTTGGATATTATAGAACTTGCCTGTCCAGTGACTGTGTGGTTGGTAACGTCTGGTGATTTGTTGGAGATCAAATCACCATAATCCACGGTCATGGAACCTTTCATTAAAAACTTCATTTGTTTAGAATCGACATAGTTTACATGGTGATTCATGGTCACTATGGCATCAATACAAATATGACTGTTTAGATGAAGTCATGAAACATAATTAATGACAACTTTATTATAATGTCTTAATAGCTCACATTTAATTGTTGTTGGGAGATGATAAAAAAAAGTTGTAATCCATAGAAATCCATACCTTCATGCTGATAATGATATCAATCTGGTCCAGATTTGATTATTTACAGGCCACTGTGATATTGCTTATATCTTGCTGAGTATGGCGTTTAACAGCAAACATATACAGTCTAAATTCTAAATAATAACTCCTTTTATATGAACACACCTATGTAGACTCCAACTTTCTGTCCCGCTATTTGTTGTCTGGTGATGCCGGCGTCCTCCAGCGCCATGTACGTGCACTCCAACACCTGGCGCTGCTGGGGGTCCATCTGGGCAGCCTCGGTTTCGTTGATCTTAAATAGCTTGTTGTCGAAGTGATCAAAGCTGGAGGATAATATTTCAGTATTTTAAGGCTTGTATGCTCGTAAGGGATCCTATGAGTGTGACAGTTAAATACAAACTCATGTAAAATGAAACTCGTTCTATTCTGTTTATGAAACAAGGAAAAGGCTAAAGTATTTTTCTACAGTAATTTTGCAAATGGATTGATATATAGCTTTCATACTCACTTCTTTAATAGCCCCGCTTTCGTAGCATAGCTCTTCCCTACAGCATTTACATCAGAGTCAAAGAAGGCGTCCATGTTCCATCTCTCAGGGGGAATGTCCACCACATGGTTCTCTCCCTTTGAAAGGATATCCCAGTATTCCTCAAGGCAGGTGGCTCCAGGAAACCGGCACCCAATGCCAATAATGGCTATTCCGTCAGCCATTGCTCAGAATTGAAGTACCTGCCAATATATGGAATTCATATTGTTTTTGTATTGTACTGTACAATTCTTAAAAACAAATAAGCATATAGTTACAATCACCGATAAAAGGTTCCAGACAGGCAAGTATCGCATTAATCAGAGCATCCAGTAGATTTCCCGTCTTCCCGAGGCAAGGGAGTTTGCTGACAATAAAAGTTCAGTTTCCACTCTTGCCGAACTAGGCTGGAATTATGGAGTTAAATTTTGGCTGGACTAACGAGACTGCGTAACAAAATCAAAATCCGGTTCGTAAATTCAGCGTCAACAGATATTTTCCACATCATTACATGTTTTTAATCAAGGTGCTGACGTGAATTGATGCACTTCGACAAGTAAGACCCTTTTATTACAATACAGATCCTAATTGTCGATCAGATCGTCTTCACCGGACGCAGCAATTTTGTTTGAAACAAATGCAAGTGATATCAGGGTCGGAATATTGGTCAATACTAGGAATATAGAAGGGACATAATTCGTAATAGCCACTGGTGGCACGACCATCGAACGCTGAAATTCCGGCCTTTTTTGGCAAGAGTGGAAACTGGACTTTTGCAGTCAGTTACCTCCCTTGCCTCGGGAAGATGTAGATTTCCGTGATTATTGCATATTTAATCTGAGAGAGTGCAACTATATGCATTAATATTGAATAACTTCGCCCCTGTTCTTTTATTAAAATATCCGAAACGGTTAGAACAGTGCATTCAATGAAGCGAATGGCTGATCTAATATGTGGTTATCCATGGTATTATTTGTCCATACTATTATGATAATACCCTGGACCCATTCGCCTCCAGAGCTTCGGTTCAGAAGTGAATTCGCTCTTGCTTATGACAGCTGTTTTGAGCATCGTTCTGTTCAAATCCTGCTCTAATCGAAGCTATTGTTGCAGGGTATTTATTCAATTATGATGGAGATATAATACACTATATAATGTAGCCAATTGTTGGCCAGTTGTAAAAAGAAAGATTTTGTTTTACCATACACAAGTTTCTAAATTCAGCAATAATTATAAGTCATTCGAAGAGTTTAAGTTTATTGAACTGCTTCAAAATCTTACGGAAATATCAGAATTAAACATGAAACAAAACAAAGTTTATGTAACAGAAGTCATCAGAACCAATAAAAATGTTGTTTATCCAAATGAAATACAATATAAAATTCAATATTATTCGCCTCATGCGGCTAACTCTCTTGATGATAGGTTGGTCAATTGTTTCTACATGTTCCGCTGCAAATCATACCTATGGCTTGACCACCATCCGATGTAGAGTGATTTCAGTTTGACAATTCATCCCTGTAATCACATTTGAGTGCAACCTTGCGGATGTTACGTTGCCGCGGTTTGTTTGGCTTGATAAATCATGTCACGGTTGAAACTTAAAACCATACAATATGAATGAAACATGCTAGTCAAAGTTGTCAGATAATGTTTCCAAACTCCATTTGCATATCTGAATCGATCTGACAAGTTAAAACATCACTATGGGGTATGGCTATCACGGTTGTCTGCTAATGATTATATATACAGCAAAACCTCATTGTATTTTAAAATGTATGACTAAAAACAGAACCTACTCCGAAAATGAAGGTTGTTTACTTGGAATTTTCAGAGCACATACATACAAAATAATATGTCGCAAATAATTTATTGTAATCAAACTTAAATTCACTGTTAATGATATCACATTGACAAATCCATTTCAGGATTAACATTTATAGATAAGTCAAAAGCAGTGTCCTATGTTACATTTGTGGACACGTATCCCACATTTGATACTGCGAATGATCCTGTTGAAGCTAATTCACTTCTATTTAGGGTAGACACTGAACTTGTGCTCCTAGATGCACTTCCAGGTGCACACTCATCTTCAACCTTATATATATTCTTGTCTCCTTGTTCACTTAAATTGTGAGGACTTGGGTGGTCATCTTTAGGCATAGGCCCTACTAAAGATAATATAACTGGCATAAGCAAAACTGCGTTTCCCATACCAAAGACTATAACAAATATCATGATTTTAAAAAAGGATTGAAACACATAGGATTGTGATCTGACCAATGTAAGTATGCCAATAAATGTTGAGAATCCTCCATTAAAGATGGGCCCAGCTGCATGTATGATTGCATGCTTAACTCTTTCATCTCGTGTTTTCCCCTTGGCCAACATGTAAGCTGTCGACACATGGACTGTGAAATCTATAGAGAAGCCGACACTCATTATCAAATGTATCATAGTGATGGAACTAAGACTCAATCCCCACAGTGGCATGAAACCAAAGATTCCAAGCAGAATTGTCAAAATATTGATGCAAACTAGGCCCACGATTAGTGGATGGGGGAGGAAAAGTGCAGTGAGAATGACCATGACTGCGACTGCAATCCCTAACGTCTGTAAAACAGTAGGCAGTACTGAGACAAACTGTTCAAAGAAAATGAACGTTGGGTGGTAAGGAAATACTGGTAATGGTGATTCAGCTGCCAGATGTCGCATACGGATCATTAGGTTGGCCTGATCCATCGAGTCAGGGACATTCGTTGAGATCATGTGACACCTTAGGGCAGTGATAGTGTTGGCAGAGTCACTAAACACTACATCGTTCTTAGCATATGAATTGGCATTAATGAATGACTTGAAATTGGCGACAAAATCAGACGCTGATGACCTGTTAACATATGGAGAGTTCACATAATCGAGAAGTCCACAGATCTGTGTTGCATTGTTCATGTTGTCATCATTGCCTATCTTTTGAAATAGCATTTGAAAGTTTTCTGTCACATTCTCATCGTAATAATTTGTGTTTTTTGTCATCACAAATGAAACCGGAATTCGTGTTCCATAAAACTTATAATTGTTTATACTGTAACTAGAGTAGTAGGACGTTGGCGGTACAAGGTTTTCTAGAAAGAGTCCTTGTTCTAGTTTGGTTACTCCCCACAAAGAAACTCCTACATATGTTAAGAACATTAATATTGTGAGTACTTTTCCACCAATGGTTAAAAGGTATTTATTCAAAATAAGTGGTGGCAGTCTTTCAAGCAAAGAGTCTTGTCTGTCTCTAGGCGGTTTTCCTGAACAAGAGCAGCGAAACATGCATGCTTTCTCTTTAAGTTCTTCTACTGGGAGCACGGGTTGACATGTCACACAATGGCGAGAGTTTTCAACACGGTGTCCATGTACAGCAAGGCATCCAGCCAGGAACGTCACTTGAGCAATGTATGAAAAGATGATGGCTGTACCTGTCAATATGAAAGTTTGGAATAAAAGTAGGTATTTTCATATCCATGGATGTTACAAGGTATTTGATACCTTGACATTTCGTTCAAGAATCAACACTGTGAGCATATGCAAAGATGATGAACAATGTCATCCTTAATATTTTAGCAAACCATTCTGTCATCATATTTAGTAGCACCAATAATACTTGTGCACAGAAGATAGTTTTGATATTAATGTTGATTTGGAAATATGTCCCTACCCGTATAGAGACAGAAGTTCTTCACACTTAGAAACACTGATGAATACCCAACCAGGAAGGCGACAAGATCAGTGAGGGACGTGATTGTCATCCCTATACCAGCCAATCGGAAAGTGTGACCCAGCCGTTTCGGTATATCCCAGTCATCACCATATTGGTTTGTGTCAGCCCAAGCTGATACCATCAGAAACATGTCATCAACACCAACAGCTGAAAGTAGATTAAAATTTCATTAACCTGGGTACAACATATAAACAAATTAAATATTGTTTCTTTTTAGTTTTCTTTTGGATAATCATGTCATGTAATTCAAACATAAAGACATACTCACACAGAACAAGAAAGGGCATTATCCCAACAATGTTGACAAATTTGACACCACAGAGACTCATGAGTCCAAACGATCCAAGGATTCCCAACCCAGCAGCCATGACACCAGCTCTTGTCACGTGACTTTTTGAGGACACACAATCTCCGCCGGAGACGAAACTGGCATACGTTATAAGCAATGTGAAGGACAGTGAAAACCAAAAGACATCCCCATTGGTATTCTCATTGAGCTCATCCCCCAGCGACTGGGATGTCGCAAAGGACACACCAATTGGGAAGAATGTTGCAGACAATGATGACATGTTCGAAATAAAGGCGTCTTCCCACAGGAGAGCATATTCCTGCATCGTGTCATTGTCCTGTCGCAGATGGAAGGTGAGTTTCATCACAGACGCTGACTGGAGAACCTCGCCTGAGACATTCACACCCGACACAAAGAAGGAGATGTCAACGTCGTTCCATAGCGGGTAGGTGACGTTCCTTTGCTCAAGAGAGGACAGGAAGTCATCTTGTAAGAGGAAGCCACCACTAATGACACACATGTCTGATGCGCGCGCACATACATCTGAGTAGTGGAGTGTCCTGCCTTCAAAATCCACTTCAAACTGTTTAATCGTATCTACCAAGTTCCTCATGTCGCTAGTGCTGGTATTGGAAAAGATGTTTCCTTCTGAGATTGCGATGATCTCCCCGTATCTGTCCTCGACGTTCAGACTGTAGGTGTTGTAGTTTGTTCCTGTCCTGTCTGGGAAGCTCGCCTTCATTTTGTCTCTGTCCTGAGCAGCCTGGCTGTTGATCGGGGTGTACAGGTGCTCCACGTCAGACTCATATTCCATCTTCAGGATCCCGAGGCCAAGAAGACCAAAGACCAATAGGGGTAGCACTATAAAAACAACCTCATGGCGACCAACAAACTGCCCATAGCTGTTGAAACGTTCACCATACCATCTTTGTAATCTATTGTAGAATATTGCTGATGCGTTATAGCAACCCATGATCCTCTTGCTACCCTTTACCCCTGTAAAGTGAGTAATGATAGATATAAGGCCTATGCAATGAATCATAATATACATTGAGTTTATAAAACATAAATATGGTTGCAGTCACGTGTGGGAGTGATGAGACAATGACGCGTTTGCTCTACTACAAGGTATAAAACAAAGTTAAAATGTTAACCAACCTCAGCTTTCACTCCTTAAGGAAATATAGTACGTCTCCACGTGAGTCATTCTTCTGCCAGGGAGCATCAGTGGTACAATCGACCGCTGTTCACCCGAGATGAAACATGTTATTGCGAGCGCTTTTCTTTCAAATTTAAAAAAAGACAACTAAAAATGTATTGTAAAATGAAAGTAAAACGTCTTGAAATAACTATCAAGCACGTCGCAGAAGTGCCATAAACCGATCATTTTGCTTCCGATGTGACCGTTATCTTTATCCTACAGGAATTCAGTGTCTTACATAGAATGTTTTACCTGAGTGTGCTATATATTGCAGCTATCATATATTAGGAATATAAATTGTATCATGCTAACCTTTTCGTATCGTAAATATCATGTACTAGGAATAACATTGTATAATGTATGGTAAATATCATATATTATTAATACAATTTGTTTTTTGCTCACCTTTCGGTGAGGGTGGCGGTGATGGCTTGTTTTGTCTGGGGATGGTGGCAGGAGTTGTACCTAGCTGGCTTCCGTTTGCCCATTGCTATGTGCATTCTTCACCTATCAGTGCTAATTACCCCCGGCCTCCCGTTTACCTATGGTCCATTGCCTATTACTTATCTATGATAACTTAAGTACTGGCTTCCATACTATCAGGGCTAATTACTGTAAAGTGTTGGCTTCTGTTGTCTATTGGTAATTACCTATCAGTGCCAATCATCTGTTGGCTTCCCATGTTAGTTTCTACCCTTTGCTATTTTCCACCTTTTGTTATCTTATTAATTTTCTTGTCCTTACATGAACATATACATGTTCTCCTCCTCATGGCGTTCATTCACCTGATATAGTCCGAAACGTTGTGTTCTTCATAATAAAGAAGTTAACATCCATAAATTCTCTTGCTCAGTCAGAAATAGTATGTAATTAAGTGTATGCAAACACGTATGCGTGTTGACAACGTAGGGTACGGTAATAGTGGTAGTGGTAATTGGTAACAGGCTAGGCACCCAATTGCTCGTCGTAAGAGGCCACTAAATTGAGAGAATCCGTGCATATTCCAGGTTGAAATGGGTCCCCAGCACCCCGTAGTGGTCGCTAGAGGCGACTTAATCGATCATGAGGTCAGGCTCGACGAATTGGTTGACTTGGTTGTCAACGTGCCCCGACTGCGTGAGTCATTGCGTGTAATATCAAATACTAGATTGTCCCGTCCACACTCGATTATTTGAGTCCGCCTTCAAGAAACTGGAATATTGTTGTGTGCGGCGTTCAGTAACAACGCACGCACGCAAAAAACTGAGTATCAAACGGTCGTGGTGATATTAATTCTGGCATTTAGATACGCCCTTCTTTACACGTTGTATTTCATGTTGCTGGTTTAAATTAATACCAGTCGCGATAACAGGCGACTCTGAAGTACAACTTTCCTTTGGGGTAAAGGACAAGTCTAAATAGATAAAGCTAATGTCAAATCGCTTTGAGAGGAAAAGCTCATATGTCATGTTGTGTCGTAGCACACAATCCTATCAGAGGAGATACTGGACGTAATAAGGAGCAGGATGGGAGCCTTGTGAAGTATTCTATATTTCTTCCAATTGTGCATTTCCTTGAAGGTGATGATCAAGTGGTACGGGTAACACGTAATATAGTGTTGTATTTAGGGTATATATATATTTTCTATTCATGACAATTGTCCATCTTATGTCAATGACATATCCTATAAGTAAAATATTTAAGAATTATTACCACTTTATTTTTCATGAATCTCGATCGTTTACTTTATCGCTGTGCTCTTATGATATTTATAGAAATAGAATCGGTATAAAAATGAAAAATGAAGGATGGACTTAACCATACATACAGTGCAGGCGAAATACATTTGAATTGTTACTAATGCCAGTCATGATGTTGAAAACGTATATATGTCCAGAAATGTGTCAAGTAATGTTTTTCGCATTATACACAAAATATAACCGGATTCTTTCCGATAAACCCTCAGTTAATTTTGTTACTGGGTGCAGTTTCGTGTTTCTTGGATCGAACTTTCACTTATGGCTGCCCTGAAACCAATATAGATGTACAATCATTTTCAGCTAATGGCGTTGTTCAAGAGCGATTGTTTGCTGATTGAAACTACGAAGGAGGTAGTTCTATGAATATACAACTTCTTTATTACAATGAATGCAACATTTCGGTGCAGATACTGACACCGTTATCAAGCAAGTAGTGAATAGAAATGTGAAGTAGGAAGATTTTATACAACATGACAATTGATGTTTATACAAGGTTGAATGGTGATCAATTGATGTTTACACAAACGTAAATGTTGAAGTATAAAGCCTATTGATGTACAAGTTAGTGAAAATAAATGCAATAAACTGGTACTGGGTGTGAATGTGGTAGAGCTCCACTTCGTGCATACATACATGTCAGGGGCACTTAAGTATTGGTGTTGAAGTATCACTCTAGATAGAAATAGGCTACCTCACCGATGTTATCTAATGTATAAGTATCTTGATGGTTCTGGCAGTCACAAGGGCTACACATATCAAACATATTCTATTTCAATTTTGGTTTAGTTCTGTATGGATTAGCCAGGATGTTGGGAATATTAACATTTGCCAGTGCCAGTGCCAGTGGCACCAGCCACAAACACATGCAAATGCAAGTCAAGTGTTCGCCTGAAAAAACATGGGAACATAAGTCGACAATTCGAAATAGGGAATTGCATTATTTTTATCACTGATGGGTCAAATTTGGAAATGTCCCATTATCCCATGATACGATCTGCTTTGACATGGAGTTTTCATACCTTCTTATCTACTGGCACTTATTTTGTTAAAGAAACTTGTGTTAGTGGGCGGGTGTTACCAGTAGAGCAGGACAACTTTACCCTTTCCGCCAACACCTGGTCTCATCACTGAGATTCGGAATCGGAATTTCTGTTCGGTATGGCAAAGTCAAAACAAGGTAATTTGTCCAAGAAGTTCAACTTAAACTCCAGGTATATCGATGATCTGATATCGTTCAATAACAATCAAATAGCCAATTCCCTTCCACTGAACTAGAAATAAAGGAGACCAGTGAGACCGCCTCATCTGTTTCATATTTAGATTTATGCATAAAGATTCAGAGTGACAAAACACTCCACACTGTATGATACGAGGGACGACTTTCCGTTCATGTCGAGCAATATTCCAGCTGCTGCAGCCTTTGGTGTTCAACTTTTGAGATACAATCGAGCATGCTCTTTCTACCAAGATTTCAAAAAGCGTCATACGACTCTTGCTCAGAAGTTGTTTGATCAAGGTTACAACATTGAAGGCCTCAATAAAGTTTTAATGGTAGGCATGTGGAGGACATTTCCAAATTTGATTCACCAGTGAGAAAAATGATATCCGATGCAATTCCCTATTTTGACTTGTAACATATGTTCCCATATTTTCGGGTGAACAGTTGACTTGCCTTTGCATTTGTTTGTGACGGCAGGATACGCTCAGCTTTTCGCGGTCATTACTATTTGATAGTGATTCATACACACATGCTCATGATATAGTCGGAATTGTACAATCGACTCTGCTTTATGCAAATATTTCTAATGGATATACAAAGGGTTGTGTCGCTTTATTTAGTGAATGATCCGTATAATTATTATCACTATATTGCTATTTACGTTCATTTGACTATTTCGGCAGTTTTTCGAGATTATTCCCTCGCGTTTCATAGAAAATATCCCCATTTAAAAAAATCACCATTCTCGGGAGTTATGTGTATGTTTTGAAATCATTATTGTATATTGTATATTGACACCAATCAATATCATTCCGAAACGTCACCAATAAAACTTGATTCATTTGGTATGTTACAGAAATGTGTGAACACAAAGGGGGATGTGATTTTACCGCCATGTTGGATATTGTTTACAAAATCACCTCAGTCATATGCCGGTAATGAATTAGATTAGTCAGCACATCACACTTAGTTTGCATACATACAACTCATACATGTAACAATTAAATGACAAATTGTCTATATCACTAATACAAATGGTATGGATGGAATCAAGCGACAGTTATCAGGGTGTATAAGAAGGCTGTGTTTTGAAAACCGAGCTCGTTTGAAAATTCGTCCTATTGCTGCCTACACTGACTCAAGTTGTTGAGAAATTGCACTGGAGCATAATCGAGGCAATAATTTTCTTAGATACATTTTTAATATTTGGTAACTTCAGCAGAAATTGTTTGCATTCCGCAAGGATCCATCACCAACGCAAAATGACGCATAACGATGACCATTTACCTGCTTTCCGACGCAGCATATATGTTACAGTAGAAAACATTAAATCAAATAACTCTACGTAGATTTGTTTCAGGTTGATTTTGATCACTTACATGTCTCATGATGTTAAAATGATCCTTTTAATCAACGAAACGTCTTTGCTAAACATCCTGCGTCCTCCTGTCAGTGTACACAAAACTTTTGTTGCGAACCTATCTTGCTTTGTCCTTACGATGAAGGCTGTTTGAATGAGTACACAACTATTAATTCAATATAAAAATATGATATATCTTGATGTATTATGAGAATATCTATGTATTACATATTTGTTATTGTTAATTATCATGGCACATATGTCCGGTTTTTACAGTGATTTAGTCTTATTAGAATAAACGAACACACTCATTTTAGGTCAGCACAATATTTAAAAAATAATAATGTTATGTTGAAAAAGTGTAAAGTCTATGTCTCTATCAATCGATTTTTGCACACTATGAACGAAAATTACATGCTTAGAACTAAAACAAACCATAATGTCAAAGAGCACGTTTCTCTTATTCATTCCATTTGGTAATAAATTGTGGAGCAAAGGCGATCCAACTACTCTCACACAATCGGATGAAAGTGGGAATTACATTTTAGACAGGGCCATTAATACATCGCTATTTTTTATCATCTCTTATTTTTGGGATAACATACAGTAAAGTACAGATTCTAGTACTTTTTTGGGTTGAGTCGCATCCGGGATTCGAACCCACATTCACAGAGTGAGGCACCTAATATGCCAGCACACAAAGTCAGAGGAAATACAGTTTAGCATAGTGGAGTCACAGCCATGTTCGCACAACTATCCCTTCACAGTTGAACATATAAAACTGTAAGGCAGACAGAGCACAATGTGTTACACGGCAATCAGGCTGACAAGAGCGGTGCAAAAGCATTTATCTCTACCGCAGTGGCTAGGCTTGACAGAAAAGAAAGCGACTGTTTACTTGGCTATTTTATCGCTTTCTATTGAGGTCATGTTTGTGTCGTGACCTTTGTGTGTGCTAGAGTTGAGGTTGACAAAGGAAATCGATCGACAGTGTATGACGATGCGACCTGTGAGTGAAATAACCAGGATATTGAAGGTACGCCCCAGCACACAAACGCGATGTCATTTTCTAATAATAATTTAATGCAATGACAATTCAAGAACATCCTCCCTCCGACTCATCCTTGTGAACAAAACGAAAACATGCACATCCAAACTATGAAATCGATC